GTATTTTAAGCAATAACCGCAGAATTATGGATAGCAGTACAGTGATTTTTATATGAATTCCAATATTCACATAAAGAAGTCTCGCATCTCTGTAAAATTTACCGAACAAATAACGCCGCAGATGCGCTTCTCAGAGCCAGATTTTTTACCAGAAATCATTAAAAATACTGCGTATAACACTGATCTCAAGTTTCCAGCTGTGTAGCTGGGAACTCTTCCAGTTGCTTTGATCAGTGCTGCATCGCCTGGTAGTTAGCCTGCTGGCAATTCTGACATTCGTTTCTTTACCTGAAAGGATTTCCTGCCCAACGATTCTTCCAACAGAAGCACTTTAATAAGATCTTAGCTATTTCGAGGTATCACTGCTGTGTAATGAGCATCAAGAATTTGTTGTCTTAAAAAGTTGCCATCTCTAAACCATAATAAAAAGGTACTTCGCTGTTCATGTCGTGCTCGAAATTTTCCAATTTATTTAACTTAGCAATGCCAGCACGGATGTTTTCAGGCTTTGCCCAGGAAGAAAATTCAGAAGAGATGAAATACCTTATCAGACAGTTAAAGAAATAGTGGGAAAACATTTGGATAATTTGCCTCCACAGAAAAGACGGCGCATCCTGGAAGACATCAAAAAGCGTACTTCTCAAGGCTGCAGTCGTCGCTCGAGCCGTGCTGACCTAAGTCCAAGTGGTTCCAGGAATGTTGACCAAGATTTGTATGATCCTACTGATGCTGGACAAGGCTCGAGTGGTACTTTTTCGCATTTTTTGTGATATTATCAAAATTTTGAAAAAAAAAAAAGTAAAATGAACTATGTCATGTCACAATAGAATTTTCCAGTGACCAGAATGCAAATGCTATTTGCAGTAGACTGTGGAAGTGATGAGGAAATGCCAATGCCGTCAGCATCCAGCAAGCCAACTTTATCGGAAGCGAGACGATTGCTTCTTATGGACAGGCACCATCTGTTGCCACAATTGGAGGATATTAACGAGGCACAAAAAATTCATTTAAAATTTCCGAAACATTTGAGGAAAACTGTGCGAATGCGAACAGAACGAAGATTAGCCGCTGAGACAAATACTTTCCACAACATAGGTCTGCCATTTTGTTATCAGCGTTGTGAAGAGATTAATTTTGCTTTAATCAGTCGTCGTTTCAACAAGATTTGACTTTCACACCGTTAAAACGCCTGGTAATCTTCCCTTGATTGCTGGATCGAAATTGCATCATTTGGCATTTGACGTGTTATTATTCTTAACATTCGTTATTAAGCGTTTTTTCGACGCAGCAGTGAGCGAAAGCGCATATTGTGACAACCATATCTGTGTATGTTCGTTTGTGTATCTTTCTGTCTATCTCCCTCTGTCAGTTTGGCAATTAAGCATATTTAGTTGTTAAAGCTTTGTCACTGCATTCTCTGATCGAGCGCGGCCCCAGAGATGAGATATCAACTCTTACATACTACTTACGGACACGTGAAAGTTTTGGCAGGGCAAGTTACTAAACTAGGAACCCGAAAGACTAGGAAGCTTTAATTTTAAGTGAGTCTTCTTTATCCATGTGCCTTCTAAAGATTTCAAGTTGTTTTTAAATACATCTAGGCCTCACGCATGAGCAGTGGAAGTTTTGACAGAAGATTACTGGCAAATTTTCAAGATCGAAAATCAGATAAGATAGAAAGCTAAAATTTTAGAATGGTTCACGTTCATTTGTGATTTCGGGAATTTTTAATTCGAACCCTACATGCGTCCTGTTTTTACACACGTAGGATTTTGTTAGGAAATTTTTCAACTCGGGAACTAGGGAAGACAAAAAGCCAAGATTTTAGGAGATTGTTCCCTGTTTTGCGACGCATAAAATTTGAATTGCTGTACGTCTTGCGTAAAATTTTAAGCTGTGAAGTGTTTTGGCTTTGCATGCAGATAAGCTGTAAGGTTCAAGCTTTTTGCATCACGATCCTGACCATCTCTTTGTCCTTAGGCATACAAACAAACTTTCACAACAATTTACAACACACACGCACACACACCCATATTATTTCTTACACAAGGAAAAGTGAAAGTGCAAATCAACGACCATTTATGCTTTGGATGACCTTATTTTTACGCAAGACGCATGTTCGCTTTTGCTGCTGGTTTTGTATTCCCTTTTTTGGAGTTAATAGCTATTTGTGTTGCATTTTTTGTGCTGATTTCCCCCCTTTCAGAGAAAAATTTATCAAATCCCCCGTATTGCTGTTTCTTTTTTCCAGC